GGCCCCAGGGGTCTTGGTCTCATTGGGGATGATGCAGCGCACAAAGTGAGGGTGGGTTGACCTCAGGTTTGTCATCAGCTTGTTCAGGTTCTCCTAAAATGGGAAAAAAGAATGACAGATTAATTTCCAGGTTCTGAGAAGTGTATGATGTTAATTCAGTGAATGAGATGGTATTAAGGAGATCAGATATGCTGAACTGGTTCTCGCGCTCACCCTGTGCAGAGCCGACACAGTCTGGAAGGAGGAACCCTTCTTCTTTCCTCCTTTACCTCCTTTGCCTCCAGATTCTTGTGCTATATTGATATGGAAAAAAATCTTTTAGTCCTGAAAAGTAAATTTATACTGCATACTGCAATTAAAGATTGGAAGTTGGAATGATATGATTAATACATACAAGTAGTGTACAAGTGTGAACAATATTGTAGTCCTATACAAACTTACATTACTTATGTACTTACTAAGTGAAGGAGACATCTAATACATAATGACTTCCCATTCTTTCCACTGGCTCACATTTCACATTATCGAAATACATGTACTAATCATATACATACAACGTAACCCTATCTGCTGCAGTCCTTCATAACCACTATTCAAATGACGTTTTAATAAATGAAGATGCTGTGAATATCTTAGTGTTAATTCTTCTAGACTTAAGTGCTGCGTTTGACAGTCTTGATCATTCTATCATGATCGGTAGATTAAAGCAGTTGATGGGAATATCAGGAACTACGCTGGCCTGGTTCTCCTCATATTTAGCTAATAGATCTTTTTCAGCTGACGTTGGTGATGAGGGTTCATCCACCAGCATGCTTATATGTGAGGTGCCTCAAGGCTCGATTTTAAGTCCAATTTTATTTTCTCTATACATGCTCCCCCTTGGACATGTCATCTGGCAATATGGTTATCCGGCAATATGCCATTAACTTTCAGTATTATGCTAACGATCTACAGCTCTTGTTCTCCTTGGATCCAAACAATGTTGCAATCGATTCCTTTAGACTGTATTAATGGTGTGAGAAATTGGATGTCCTGTAACTATCTTCAGCTTAACACCCACGAAACAAGGATTTTAGTAATTGACCCACAATGTAACACAGCTCATGTGAAGCATGACTTTGGGTTTATTGGCACACAATATTAAATCAGTATCTAGGAACTTAGGAGTGATCTTCGACTCCAGCTTAAATTTTAAACATCATGTTAATGAACTGGTACAGTCTAGTTTTTATCAACCAAGAAATATTACGAAAGTTAGAGCATCTCTTTCCTCTAAAGGTACAGAAATAGTCAAACACACTTTTCTTACGCCTCGCCTGTGCTATTGTAATACTCTATTTGCTTCACTGAACGGTTCTTCCATTGCTCGTCTCCAGTTGGTACACAAAGCTGCAGAAAGACTACTTACAAGATCAAGGGTTTGTGAGAATATTCCCCCTATTCGGGCTTCACTGCACTGGCAAGCAGTTAAATTTAGAATTTATGTTCACATTTTATTCATCACTTTTAAAGCTTTACATGGTTTGGCTTTATTTGACTTATTAGTTCTCTATCAAACGATCATACCTTTATGATCATTTGGTAAGGAGGTACTCGCTGCTCGAGACTAAAGACCAAAGGTGATAAGGCATTTTCTGTTTTGGGTCCTAGACTTTGGAACAGTCCCGGGTCCTTTCTGTGTGGAATCCACACGCTCTCCCCGTGTTCGTGTGGGTTTTCGCTGAGGACTCCAGTTTCCTCCCACAGTCCAAAAAGTGTGCAGGGTAGGCTGATTGGTGAGTCTAAATTGGCCCCAGACACATCACATGAATAATAGCCTCTTATAATAATGACATGCATCAGAAGGGGGGGGGGGTGATTAGAGACCCTGGAGGAAACCCCATGACGACATGGGGAGAACATGCAAACTCCAGACACATGGAGCCAAGGTGGTGACTCAAACCCAGGTCACAGAGGTGTGAGGCAACAGTGCGAACCACTGCACCACCGTGCTGCCCCACAAATTATATCTCCAACATTTAAATTTAATAACATCCATACATATGTCAAAGTCAAGTTATTATCTCAAAATACAATACAGTCACATTTTGGGGGTTAGGGGTATGCATGCCACCACCCCATCCCTCCTCTCCTCTCCTCTTCCTGGCAGAGGCCTTCCCAGGGAGGCTGAGGTGTGTGATCCCCCTGAAGTTGGAACGCACCGTCCAATCCCCTTTATTAAATATTGGGACCACCATCCCCCTCTGCCAGTCCAGTATCCCTGACCTCCACACAATGTTGAAGAGGCGTGTCAGCCAAGACAGTCTAACAATACCCAGAGCCTTCAGGAACTCAGGGCGAATCTGATCCCGCCTCAAAGCCTTACTATCAAGGAGTTTTTTAACTACCTCCATGACCTCAGCCCAAGCCATGGGTGAGTCCTCCTCCAATCCTCTGACTCTGCTTCCTTTATGGAAGGTCAGCAGGATTCAGGAGGTCCTCAAAGTGCTCCTTCCATCATCTGACTATTGAGGTCAATAGTACTCCATCCCTGCTGTATTCGACGGGGGAAATCCCTGCTTCTCCCTTCGGAGACACCTGACAGTTTGCCAGAATGTCTGATCGAAAGTTCTTGCATCCGCAAATGCCAGTGCTGCACTCTGTTTGGCCTGCTCGTCTCTGTCACCTGCCTCTGGAGCAGAGCTGTGAAGTATTGAAATACAAATACTTTGTACTTAAGTAGGTTTTTTTCTAGTTTTGTACTTTGCTTGAGTGTTTCAAGTTGTTGCAGTTGCAAACTCATTTCACTTCTTTAAGTATTGCCATCCAGTCGAACACAGAAAATGTAATTGATTACAAACAACTGGGGTTTCCACTTTCAATCAGAAAAAATATGGGACAAATCGCATCCTGTATTGGTTCAAAATGGGACAGCGTGTTACTTTTCAATATGGGATGTTTGGTAACTGTGCTCGCAATTGCACTAATTAAATAAGAGCAATCAGCAGCGAGGAAGTCAAGAGGAAAACGCAGCAGTGAATCAAATTGTCAGCGTCTTCTAATGTTCTGCCCTACAACAACAACGTTTATTTTTGTATTATTTATTTAAATTAGATTTCCGTTTGCAGTCTATTCAAATTGTCATCTTTTTAAATTTCTGGAATGTGTTTATTGGGAATCCTAATAGAATTTTAAGCAAAAACAGCCTTGAAGTAATGTCCTAAATTGTAATGTGATAATTATCAATATCAAATGATATGAAAAAAAAACTAAATATTTGCCATAAGCTCTAAAACAGCATATTTTCTAAAAAAAAAAAAAATATCTATTTGCCCTTTTGCAATTAATTTTTCCTTATTGGATGCACTGTAACTAACAATGCTGTATTCAAGTCTCTCTTGGGTGATGAATTTAAAAGAATATGTTGCTTTATATGATACTTAAGTAATTTTATAACCAATGCAATATTTGGGTAATATTTTACTGGATGACATTTACTTTTACCTGAGTAACATTATGGATTGGTATCGGCACTCTTACTTAGGTATAAAAATTGAGTACTTTTTTCCCACGAGATATCCAAGCTCGGCTCCGTCGTCAGGTTCAGAGGTTACCGCCATGACAGGAACCAACGACCATACAGCCACAGCCACAGCTCAGCACAGTCGCTTTCGCCATGAAGGCATGGAGCTCAATGTCCAACCTCCCTTGGACAAGAGAAGCTAAGAGAATAAGAGAAGTTCAGGGGCCTGTACTACGAAGCAGGCTTACTGGCTTATCGGGGTAACTTGTCGGATTTAAGGTACCACAGTTTAAATGGATTTTATATTCGTTCACATACATTTTGCAGACTACCTTAGTACAGGCCCCTGTTCCAAAGGTGTGAGTTAAAGATTTCCAGTACAGGGGCCTCTGTCGGTCACTCCCAGCACACCCTCACTCTACATTTAGGTCTACCAGGTCTATCCAGCATTTTCCCGTGCCACGTCATCCAACTCACCATCAAACGAGTACCAGTTGAGAACTCAGCTGCTTTCTTCACCCAACTGTCCAAGATCTGATGATACGACTACAAAAACAATCATTGATCTATAGCCTAGGTTATCCTGGTGCCAAGAACACTTAAGAACACCCTTATGCTCAAACACGGTGAACTGTGACCAAACTCCAATAACAGAGCACCACTCAGCTTCTCAACCATGCAGTAGAGCTGACTTTGACCTATGAGAACAAGACAAATCTGCCCAGCATCCTGATTGGTCTGGGGCTCCAGCCCCCCTTAATCGATCTGCATAAAGAGAATCTTATTCTACCACAGCTACAGTGCCTACACCTCCCCACTCCGAGGACACGGGCAGCACCACAAATCACTCCCCAAGCATTTGGACATGAAGCAGCGATTTGGGAGGTTAGGGGCAAACCATGATGTTTTCCCATACACAGACTTTAAAGAATAGGAATATGATACTAAATATCAAAAATATTAAAAATGAATTGTGCCAGAATTTTACAAAAACATGCTCAACTGTGTGGTTGATCTGTCAGTAAAGGGTAGAAATTACCATGAGGCAGGTCTGCAGTTGTAGTGTGGAAGGGAGATGTTTGAGTGGAAAACGTGAACAAACAAAGAAACTAGATTATATTATTAAAACACAATATTATCCTATTACATTATATGTCAACATATGCCTTGTCGCACATGTATATTACAGGGAACCATGTAGTGCAGTGCATTGAGACGTCTTCCTTGTTTTCATTTTTAGTGATGGACATCAATTTGTATTATGGCGGAGGAAAGGGCAGCAATGCTGTGCTCCCCCTTGATTCACAGGAACCAGACATGATTCAGTATGTCAGTATATACAGATTTGTGTGCCCTTGTAATTGATGGGACGTTTATAGGCCAAAATCACGTTGATGGAGTGCAAAAAAAGCAATAAATTGTTTCACAGTTCTAACGAGAGATTAAAATGGTTATTTCAGGAATACTGTTAAAATTCAGCGATATTTTAGCATCTATTTACCATAAACTGACAGCTCAGCCATAAGATAGATGTCTATTATTTCTTTTTTAAAAAGGGGGTGGTCAAATTTTGAAGAAAAAAAAAACTTGTTAGACATTATTTGGTGCTCTAGTAATAGATATCTATGGTTATATGTTTTTTTCATCACCTCTTTCAATGAGTGTCAGTTAAAGGGATATAATTTTATCAGTTTCATTGGTGTACATCCATTTTCACTCCTCTATACTCCCAGTATGTTTCGATTTCCTTACCATGAAACTGCAACACCAGTACCTGTACTGCCACAGAGAAGCTCTCACCTTCCCTTTCTCAGTCTCAGCAGTAACTATACCTCCGTCACGGCTGACAATGTTGCCTTTCACATACTCCTCCTCAGCATCGGGCATGAAGCTCTCCTTCTTCATGTCGGAGGGGCGTGTTTGTGTCTCCAGACGCTCCTTCTCTGATTTCCGCAGGTAGGGGGCCACTACCCCAAAGTCAGCCATCTGGGAATCTGCCATATTTACTGGACCAAAAGGTTTACTTTGAAAGAAATTTAAACATACCAACAGTCATAACCTGATTAAATGCACTACAGTAAATTGAATTTTAAAATACATACAAAATACACAAGATGTCTTTAAGCGAAATCAACTAATCAAAATCAAATAATCAGAACTAATGGAGGAGAAAGATATGTTGTATTACCAATAACGTTATGAAGTGTGTGGTAGGATGTTCAGTACTGTAGCTCTGCGGAGTTGAAAAGTCAAGTTAGACTTTAAAAAATGCTTTACTGAAATCAGAGATTTGACTGCAGATGGCAGCATAGGAGAATAGGAGCAGTTCAGTACTGCCACTGAAATGTTTGAAGTTCAGCTTCCTGCTAGTCTGCATCTAATCATTTTAAACACAAACACATTGCCGTTTTCCTGCTGTGTAACAAATAGAAACAGTAGATATTGCAAACGCCAGTCATAGCCTACCTTGAGATGAAACAGTGAGTGATCTCGGCCCCTCTTCACTGTTTATAAATGAGGCGTGCTCCCATATTTAGGAATTACATCGCAGGGGGCTGGGGCTTCTATGTGCCTGTGTTTGGTAGAGCTGGAGAAGGAGGGGAGTGTGTAGGCTGGTAAGAGAGGAAGAAAACAGCAGAATAATCTATGTCGGGAGCCTAATTAGTGATAGGCTTGCTGCCTATACGTATTAGCAGTGCCCTGGAAAAAAGTAGCCTCTGATTCATATAGATATTTTGTGAGCTGTACTATATATTTTCTTCATTGTTGTTTTGAACTATTTTCGTTAACACTTTACTTGATGGGGCACAAATACTTTGTGATAACTCAGCTACTACTGAAGCACAAATCGTGAACGAATCATGGAAAAATTTTGTCGGTACTTGAAACAAAAGATGCTTCATGAGTCATTAATAATGATGAACAAACATGAGATCAGTATCATACTTCTGTTTTACATTACTTGTTCCTTCAGTAGTTCCTTAATAGTTCCTTCAATGATTCCTTCAATAGTTCTCAAACGTTTACAGAATTAACAGATATAGTAACAAATATAGTAACTGCTTGAGATAAAGCATGCATCATAATTCATTAATGATGAATTAACATGAGATCAGCATGTAACTAAGACTTAGTTTGTGGTTTATTAGTAGATTAGTAATGCCATAATGCTACATTATTTGCGCCCCAACAAGTAAAGTGTTACTGAATTTTTCACTGCATTGTTTTATCCAAGGGGTGGTCCAGTGGTTACAATTGTTGCCTCACACACACACACACACACATATATATATATTTATATATATATTATCATCAAGTGCTTTTGTCCAAAGTCACATACATGGAAGGATCAGGACCGCGGGAGCAATTGGGGTTAAAACAGTTTTCCATCTAATTTCACATAAATTTTTTTGATTGGCTAGACTAATCACATTTCCATATGTGTCTCTGTTTAATATTTTCTACTTTATAGTCCCATGTACTGAAGGACTTGTTTATGGAACACACAAACACTTTAGGTCCAGTTTGTAGGATCACAGAAAGGGCATTTACAGCAAACAAAATGAACTAAAATAAATGCATTACTTCCATATATACAAAATGTTTTTATTAATTAAGAAATAGAATAACTGAAATGAATGATAACATGGTAACATTTTGGTAAAAACCAAAGGTGTTACTATAAATTATCTTGTTAATGGGGATTTGCTCTGCTGTATAATATTTACTGCAGTAATGTGTTTTAAAGGAGTATAATGAACAATACTATTTGAACATTCTAGATTGTAAATAAGAATCTTATAATGGGTTAAATGATGGCACACACCACCAGCACACACTAACATTGCTAACCTGCTTTGGAGGGTAATTGTAGTAAGAATTTGCATGAAGTGCTAGTTTGACCCATGTGCAGGTCAAGGTTTCTAGTAAGTTGTTGTCCATTATCACCTACCTAGCAAAGAAAAGCCTTTGCCCTGTGTTAGGTCTTGTTGTCATTGCACTGTTTCCTTCTCTTTATCGCCGAGTGCAAAGATAACTCTGTGAAATTCCTGCCGAGTGCCTCTTGCTGATTGAGGAGGACAGCTTGCGAGGCTGGTGACAGCTGGCCGTTCATAAGGCTTTCTCCACACCAGAAAGGTGACGGGCAGTCTCCCTGACATGTACAAAGTCGGATATGAAATTCTAGCAATAAGATTATTAGCTACGAAGGTCTGGACCTGTCATTTTATGTGATGCGGCTGGCATTGAAAACAGGAAACTCAAGAAGCAGTTTGCAAACATTTTGCTAGATATTTGTCAGTTAAGTAATACAACTTTATGTTTTAAGTAATTATATTTGTTAAGATTATTGTTTTAATTTAATTTTTATAAATTATATTTTATATGTTTTATTATTTTTTATTTTATTAATTAATGATAATGCAATAAGGGGGGAATGGCAGTGCAAGGGTTCAAGTCCTGGCTATGGCTTCAAGTGTGTGGAGTTTGCATGTTCTTCCTGTGTCTCCCCCCCCCCGTCCAACGAAATGAGGTTAATAGAGGTAATCGGATTGCCCATAGGTGTGAATGTATGGAATATTATTTAGCACTATACAATGTAGAATATAATCATTATGGTATTATTAAAAAGCATGCCAAATACACATGATGTAATCATTACAATGTAGTCAACACAATGTAGTCAATTGAGTATGTATTTGCACCTCGTGTTAGCCTAAGAGTTTTTGTTAGGTACTTTATGTTAGCCCTGAATGTATGAATATCCACCTTTATTAGTGTATACTTTATCACTATGTTAAAGGACAAATATATTATCAACCCTCTAGTTAGTCAATGTGCAACAGGCTGACGCTGCCTGAGTTCACCAGAAGTTCACGGCTGAGCATTTTTAAAAAACCAAGTGGAGACGGTCGCGCCACCATTATGTTCAGCTGAGGGACCAAATAGTAAAAGAAATGACTGACAAACTTATCACCTAGGGGTGTGGATTAAGGGAAAAAACAATGATTGTGAATGGTGAAGGAATGATGATGCTCAAGTGACGAGATATTGTTAAATGATAAGAACTTGTATAAAAATTGGTGTAAAACAGTATTGGACACACTTGTAAGTGTCTGGCCTTGGTTGTAACTTCATTGTTGCAATAAAGACTGAATTTGGATCCACACGAGCAGCTTCTGACTTCTGATTTGGCAAGGAAGGAAAAACCACAACAAATGGTGTGTGAGTGTAATGGGCTGGTGTCACAACCCTGAATTGGACAAGCAGTTAAAGAAAATTGGAGATAATGTAATAAAATTAACATGTAAATCAACTTGACACACAAAGTGCATGAATTTATTCCTGTTCTAAGTCTGGTTTTATTAAGTCAAAGGCTGTTTGTTATGTCAGAGGAACAGAATGAATAGTTATAATTTCCAACCATCAGATTTCCTGCCTGTCCAGGTTTCTCTTATTATTGTCAGGTACTGTGATCCTATAAGTTGCAGTATGGTGCAGACAAATACTTTAAAAGCTGTTTCCCCTAACTACTATTACAACAAACACATTATCAGTAGATATACTGGGGTAGTTAAATTATTTGCATTGCATTCATCCAATGGTAGCATTATTAAAAAAATTTAGGCTGGGACAGTACAGCATATATGAACAGCATATCAGAAATATGAATTCCCAGTATAATAATGTTTTGAAGGTATTGGAATAAAATGGCTTTTTAATTTGAATACTACTAGTATATTTTGTCATTTCCTGAAATATAGCTCTAATCCAGGGATTGCCGGCCTTATCTACAAAGGGCCAGTGTGTACGCAGGTTTTTGGGATAACTTAAAGTCAGCTGTTCAAACCCAAGTGTGAGGACTCTTCACCCAATCAGTCCTCCGATTAGTAATCTAATTAGAGAGTTGTAGCAAAAACCCACATATACAATGGCCCTGTCTAGACAAGGTTGGCTGCCCTTGCTTCAAACTATCGATTTCCTGAGAGTACAAATCCAGACCAAGATTTTGTTTCAACCAACCAGTTGAGTACTCTGTGACTGTGACTCTTTATACTCAACTGGTTGGTTGAAACAAAATCTTGGTCTGGAGTTGTAATCTCTGGACCTGAAATCTCCACCTCTGGTGTCACATATTACAAAATTGCAAATATTCAATGTTTATTTTTTTGAAGATGAAACAGATTGATGTGGTGTGACTTTACAGACACAGAAATGCATGTTCAGTATGTTAATTGCATTCATATTTGAATTCATAGCCATCAAAGCATGAGAATGCTCTTGCATGGGATATTAAACAATACTGCTAACATGAAGCCACAAGTAAAGTGTAGAGAGACCCTGCTAAATAAAGTCAGAGCTGCAAAGGGTCTCCGATTATAACAACTAAGTGACAAGTATTGAAACTGACAGGCTCCCCGGAGGGGTGTTATTCACAGAATGAGAAATAACTAGTCAAAGGCCCCCTCCCGATGACGAAGATAATGACCCTTCACATTCTCCTTGACAAGTGAGTCTACTAGGCACAATGGAAAACATAACATAATTAATTCACTGCTAATGGTTTTGGATCAATTCACTTGCAAAAGAACTGTACTTTGAGTTTGTTTAAATTCTTAAGTCACATAGAAAGTTTGACCCTTCAGCTCCTTAATTAGTCCTATCAGTAGAACATTCCATTCCCTACTCCTCACTGACAATCCCTCTCCAGCCGGGCCCCTCTCCAGATCACCAGTGGTCACTTCTGCGCAAAAGCGACGTGGCACTTCACAGTCACCCTTAGACTGTGTTGATCTGAAACCTGATTCCCCACCTTTCCCTCTCTGCCTAATATTAGCCTGGAGTTCTCTTTCAGTGATTGAAAGGACAATGAGGTCATTAAGACACTCAGTTTTAAATATAGAAAGCAGCAATTGTGAATAAAGAGCAGGGAGATTGCTGAAATACAATGCAATCTTCTATAAATTGGACCACTCTGCAGGAAATTAGTTCAAACAATTAAATGGTACTAGAAATAAAATTAGAGAGAGCCTCTAGGTTAATGACTACAAAACAGCATTAAATACATTCACTTCAAACATTATTCATGTACTGCTCAACTATTTAACTAAAAGGATTCATGACTTTATGGTAATTGTAATCATTGGAGTAAAACTCATAGTATTGTGAAAAGTCCCATTGTGAGAATGATCGTATATGGAAATGAATATTTGAACCCTGTACAATGAGCAGAAAATACAAAGCAGATTTTTATTTTGAAATTTGATATCGATCATTTGAAGCATAATATTGTGCCGACGTCTGTCTCACTGTGAATGTCAGTTATGGAGACCTTTGTAACATGAGTAGTAACTCAGCGGTGGGAAGATTCACACTTGGAGTATAAGTCTGTAATTAGCATCCATCATGCTCGCTTGTGTTCCCCTCTCTGCCCCTGACCGGCTCGGCTGGGCTCTGAGGACGCTGAGCTGCTCGGAAGGGCTGCTGCTTGACTGACTGCGAGGTAAGGGAGCGCCTCCGAGAATGACCCACTTACACTTCGGTCTCAAACCACGATAATAACTATTTCAAATTTAAAATAATGTGCGAAGTTAAGATTTTACTGGATTAAATGATTTACATATAGTTCCCGATATGAGGCTGAATTAATTTCATATTCAATAGTCATTCATCTTTTAAGATTTGCATTTGATTTATTGCTTTGATGCATATAATGAGTTATATAGAGGAAAATATTCATATATATATATATATATATATATATATATAAAGAAAACAAGGTTGACATGGAAACAGGCTACCACTCTTCAAATACAGCCAAACGCTTCACTCTGATCTGCTACTTGGAGGTAGTAGTTCTATGGCTAACCCTGGTCAGACTGCAGGAGCAGGTAGGTGATGTCTAACCGAGTGAGAAGAAGTTCACATGGAAGCAGATGATGGTCAATGTATCTTCTGGAAATTCAATCGAACGAATAACAATTAAAATGTATATCATTCTTATACAGTGGACTGACTGCTCCTACAGTCTAAGGATGATCGCTAGACAGACAAATGTTTATAAAATAGACTGAAGCCATAGAAGGAACATGCAAAATATTACTATAATGAAATACTTATAATTGTCGTTACAAATATATATTTTGCAAAAAGAACTGACATTTTGTCCAAATATGTGAATCAGATTTTAACATCCTGTTAAAATGTACGTGTGTGTATGTGACTGCATTGTGCCGAAAGGTCTTCACATACAGCACATGTGATTATAACAAAGACCACTGGCAGCCTCAGCACTTTCTCCGTGAACTTCTGCAGATGAGTGACACAAATAGACCAGGCCGAATGAAAGTTAATATCAGGCCTGGTCAGCCTTCTGCATCTGACCTTGACACTTGGATGCTAGCCAATCCTAATGCTTTATGTCACTTATGTGTGTGTGTGTGTGTGTGTGTGTGTGTATATATGTGTGTGTGTGTGTGTGTGTATATATATATATATGCTGTGGATTAATTTCGATTAATCACGATTAAATATCATTCATTTTTAATCTATATTAATCACATTTCATTTTGCATGAGCAAACAGACTTAAGAAAAAAGGGAATATATATGCACTTAACATGTTTATTGAACATCTTGAACATGAGTCGGATGCATTCCATCTGCCACAGAAGTGCAATACCATGGACCCATATCAAAAAGCAAGATTTTTTGCTTATCCGGACAACTTGTCGTATTTAAGGTACCTCAGTTTAAATGGTCTTTATCTTCATTCACTTACAATTAGCCCGAACTACCGTAAATCTGACAAATAATCCGACTAATCATGAAGTCCAATTCTAGCTCGGTTAATTGCCATTGTTAGCAATATCAGTTGATAACACATTATGCGCGGTGCTTTACGTATAAAACTCCGTAGCAACACGTCCACAGATAAGTTGAATGGTATAGTGTGTGCAACCGATTTAATGAGCCACAAATGAGAAGTAGTGCTTAAACAGTATAAAACTATAACTTTCCCTTCTGTTGATAAAAGGCGCAGCCATCTTGGATTCTGAACTCGGGATCCTCTGTGCTGCTCCGAGATATTTCTCGGATCTCCGAGAAACGGGAGCGTGCATGTCATCACTTCCGGCTTCAAAACTCAGAATCCGAATCGGAATACGAGTTCCCAGGGCAAATGGAACGCACCAAAACTGCCCAAAATGGGTTGACAGAGACATTTCAGGGACTTTGAGTCATTCTGCACTGCAGATTAATTGCGTTAAAAATTTTAATCAGATTAATCATGATGATGGATTAATATATACACACACGCACATATATCTACAGGGGGGGGGGCTCACAGCATTTGTAATTATATGATAGTGTGTTCTGAGGTTTTATAAAACAAGCATCTCATGCCAGGAAAATGTTTTATCCAAGCCTTTCGCTTAAGATTAATTTATCGACACATCTGAGCCCTTTTTAAATGTGTACATCTTTTGATTTTCAGGTAAGGATTCAGGTCCAGGGGGAAGCAACTCAGCCAGCAGGGGGCATTGCGGCAAAGGAATCAGCTATCTGACTAGGGTGCTTATAATGTGTATTAATTAGTTATTTGTGGCATTCAGCATGTCAAGGAAGACCGTACTGAAGGAAGCATTTTTAACTAGGCTTTTACACGCAGCATGTGGGTGTTAATGCTATTACATTCCAGCCTCCTGAAGTGTGCGCTGAAACACTTACTATTATTAACAGTTCTATTCATTGCAGTAGTTCATTGGCCTGTCACACAAATGGCCTGTTTATTGTCTTTATAACATAATGCAATGTATCCAACTGTAACATGAAAATTATAAGTGCAAGTTTACATAAATCGTATCAGCAACCTGCTCCTATGCCTTTCTGCTGAGTCTTATTTCATGTTTGTTATGAAATATTGTCTATAGCATCAATATTTAAATTTTCTTTAGATGAACAATAGAGAAATTATGAGAGCTGATTGTACTTTCCATCAGTGTTGGCAATTAATATCTACAAAATGACTTGGCAACATTATAGGTGCAGGTAAAATTTTCTGTCTAATTAAATCATTAGATTCAAGAACGTTGCAAGAGAGAACTTTATTCTACTCAATCAGAAGAGCAGCACTGATAGTGGAGACAAACTACAGCAGGAGGATTTTAGAAGGGTCCATCAGAGAGCTTCACTCTTCATCAAACCCTTTCTGTGGTGGCAGACATAGTTGGAGAGAAGGAATAAAAGCCTGGTTAGTTCCCACTATAAGCTTGGTTTATAGAAGAAACCAAACCTGTAGACTTGGAAGAAAGGAATTCATTTATGTAAAGAGTGCTGCTTCTTAGCAGTATTCTAGCCGTATTTATTGCAATTTAAAAGAAAATGCAGCATTTAGTTCTCAATAGGTCAGATATTTTTTATTTGTGGTTATTATGGAATGACAGACCTTGGAGCCGACGTCGCGGCTCTTGGCGCGCAGCTTGTTGACCTGCGACTCTGCGATGTCGGCTCTCTCCTCCGCCTCGTCCAGCTCGTGCTGCAGCTTGCGGAACTTGCCCAGGTTGCCGTTAGCTTGTTCCTCCTGGGTCACAGAGACACCAGATCACAGCAGTTAAGTCTGAACTGGCGAATAATGCTGCGTTCAGTAATATCGTCAAGAAGAATCTTTGCAGAGCGTAATAGTGATAAACGTCTCGAATCTATATACGTACAGCTTCCTCCGCAGACCTCTTGTAAGATTTGACCTTAAGCTGCAGTTTATCCACCAAATCCTGCAAGCGGGCCATGTTTTTACGATCCTCTTCAGTCTGAAAATGAGGTTATTCAAACTTAAATCTGATGCTGGAGAATCATTTGTCAAAGCGAGATCATGAAGCAATCAATGCACAAGTTGCCTTAGAAGGTACCCTAAACGATATACCTGGTAGGTGAGCTCCTTAATGCGCCTCTCGTATTTGCGGATTCCTTTAACAGATTCATTGCTTCTCCGCTGTTCTGCTTCAATTTCAGTTTCCAGTTCTCGCACCTGCAAAGATAATGCAACAAATTAGAAAAAAAAAAAACTCCCAGTGATTTAGACATTATGTACATTCATGCATGACTCACTACATACAATCATTAAAAGAGGAAAATAAGATACTCACCCGGGCTTCCAGCTTCTGCACCTGCTTCTTGCCCCCCTTCATTGCAATCTGCTCAGCTTCATCCAGCCGGTGCTGCAGGTCTTTGATAGTCTGCTCCATATTTTTCTTCATGCGCTCCAGGTGAGCACTGGTGTCCTGCTCCTTCTTCAGCTCCTCCGCCATCATGGCAGCGTCAGTGATGGCCTTCTTGGCTTTCTCCTCAGCATTCCTACACTCCTGCACAGCCTCCTCCACCTCAGTCTGAAGCTGGGATGTATCGGCCTCCAGCTTCTTCTTCTGGTTGAGCAGGCTGGTGTTCTGCACAGTCAGAGAGATGTGGGACAATGGAGATCCCCAGTGAAGAACGCACTATATCATCAGGACTAGACAGAGGACTATATAATTCTTTCCTCACCTGGGAGTGCAGAAGCTGCACCCTCTCGCTGACATCCAGAAGCTCCTGTTCAGCCAGCTTGCGGCCTCTCTCTGTCTGCTCCACCATGGACCTCAGCTCCTCCAGCTCTGCCTGCAGAAGGTTGTTACGTCTCTCCACGATGGCGATGTTCTCTTTCAGGTCATCGTTTGCTCGTAGGGAGTCATCCAGCTGCAGTTGAGCATCCTGAAAAATTGTGCATTACATCTGTTACTGAAGAAGAAATGAAGACTCTGTGTTATTATGAAATAATAGCATAAAAATGATTACAAAGTGATTTCCCCTAACTCACACGCAGTATGTACCGTGTACTGGAAAAAAACAAACCAGACTGGTAGTTTACCTTCATATGTGCATGGAGACTCTTCAGTTGCTTCTGAGCCTCAGATGCCTGTCTGTTGGCCTGGCTGAGCTGGATCTCCATCTCATTGAGGTCACCCTCCATCTTCTTCTTCAGCCTGAGGGCTTCATTCCGGCTCCTGGTTTCTGCCTCCAGAGAGCTCTGCAGGGTATCTACCATCCTCTGTTGGTTCCTCTTGGCCTGTTCCATCTCCTCGTCCTTCTCAGCCAGCTTGCGTTCAATATCAGCCTTTACCTGATTAAACTCAAGCTGGGCTCGCAGGATCTTTCCCTCCTCGTGCTCTAGAGAAGCCTAAAGGAAACAAGATAGCAAATGTAGTTGCAAATAAAGTATAGCAACACTATAATAATAATTTAATTAAAATACCAACATATTAGTGATGGAATCTCTGCCAGGCAATACAATAATAAGAGCCAATTACTACTTTAAATGTAATTCAGAGCTAGAGATACAAGTTTTTAGCTATAATTAACTGGACTATGCAGACTGATCTGAAAATCTTCACTATATACCAACTACATTATATGCATTACTTACTTCTGCTTCTTCCAGGGCAGCCTGTATCTCAGCCTTCTCCTGTTCCAGTTGTTTACGGATCTTCTCCAGTTCATGGATGCTCTTTCCGCTCTCACCAAGTTGCTCGGTCAGATCAGTTATTTCCTCTAAGAAATGTTGCAAATATTAAAATGCTGTGTAGTTTCTTGTCATTTTGATTGTAATATTCATGGTCAGTTATCAAATTTGGCAGCAATGCTGGATACCTTGAAGGATCTTATTCTCTCTCTTCATTGTCTCCAGATGATCCAGGGACTCTTCATAAGAGTTCTTTAGCTTGAAGAGCTCTGTGCTCAGAGACCTGGCCTCCTTCTGGGAGCTCTCCAGCTCACTCTGAGACTCCTCATACTTCTGCTTCCACTCAGCCAGGACCTGACAGCAAGATTTTTAGAATCAGTTCTGTGGTTAACTTTATAGTGTACTGCAGACCTACCATAGTACCACGGGTGTCCTTGGTCTGCCCAGATGAAACTCAGGCCCACCCATTCAGTGTTTACAGCGAGCGATACAATGAAACTATTGTGTCTGACAGGTATGTGTGTACATGGTTAGATCGGCCAGAGGAAGAGTGCTGTTGAAAGTCAAATATATTTCTCTTTATTTGTTCATTTGGTATTAGTAATGCCACGGGTCATTTAAAAACTGATAAAAAATATGCAGGTGAGTCTGTAGTGTGACTTATTTTGCCAAGTGAATTGTTATGGGACCTGATTTTATGCCAGCCCACCCACAGTATGATTTCTGGATCCACTATTGTTGCAGACACTCCTGTTCATCATTATTACCTTGTCAAAGTTTCTTTGCTTCTTGTCCAGAGCGGCAGCAGCTGCATTGGATCGTTCTACATCCACCATGAGATCTTCAATCTCATTCTGCAGCCTGTGTTTGGTCTTTTCCAGCGAGGAGCATTTGGCATTAACAGCTTCCACAGCCTCTTCTGCATCTTGCAGACGCTGAGCCAGTTTCTTCCTGGGTAGAATGGAAGGAGTGGATGCTGTTTAGTTTGCCGTCACATCACAGCCATTCACATTTATAAAAATACTGTACTGTACTGACTTTGCTTCTTCCAGCTCCTCAGTCCTCTGTATGGCATCAGTCTCATATTTTGTCCTCCACTGAGCCACCTCAGAGTTGGCCTTGGAGAGACTACGCTGCAGCTCCCCCTTGGCCTCCTGCTCCTCCTCATACTGCTCCCTCAGCAGGTCTGAGTCGTGGCGAGCAGACTGCACCGCGTGGGCCAGTGCGTTCTTAGCCTGGAAAATGAAAAGAAAGGCTATTCAGTTATGGATATGGGCATACTGTCTCCTCAGGGAAGTCAAATATCTTTGCTATTTCCTCAACCACTCTGGATTTTAAATTAAATGATAAATATAAGATAAAAGTACAGAATACCTCTTAATTAAAAGAATACAATTGTATGCTATTGGAATGGCAACTATGTATTCCCCGGACAGCCCTGTTAGTGCCCCCCATCTAATCCATACGCCTCCCACACCCCCAAAGCTCTAGCTCCCCTATACATGCTCTCCAACTCTCTAAAACCAGGTGTACATATTTATCCATATGATGTTTTTTGTGAAGATCCATCAAACACTTTCTGAGTTATCACATTCACTAAGTCAAGCGTCTTCGGCAGTCCCCTTCTCTTTGCTGTCACTAAGCTGTGTTGCTTCTATTTTCATGCAATTTGTTCAAAATTTGATCAACTCCAGATCATCGTGTATACAATGTGTCTGCTAAGTTTGAAAATGATCTGTCCAATACTTTTGGAGTTATCATTCTAACCGGATAAAATGTGTGAAGCTGCCATTTTCTTTGCTGACACAATGTGGCACTACTTCATTTTTGATGCAGTTTGTCTCAAAATGAAATAAGTTCCAGATCCTATATAATGTTCATCTGAAGATCAGACCAATACTTTTTGAGTTATTGTGCTAATCAGATGTGTCTCTGGCTACCCATCTCTTTGTTAGCACTATATGATGCTTATTCATTTTTGGTGTGATTTGTCTCAAAATGTGACCATTTCCAGATTTTCACCCATACAATATGTGTCTGCAAAGTTTGAAAAAGATCTGTCAAATACTTTTTTAAGTTATCATACTAACAAGCAGATCAGTTGCAAAATTGGGGTGATATATTACCTTAACTTCTTCTTCTAGTTGTCTTTTGAGATCTTCAATCTGCTGAGTATAGGACTGTTTGGCTCTAGTTAGCTGAGAAATTAGAGATTCTTTTTCTTCTAGCTGTCTGAAGAGCTCCCCTGGGATTAAAATCGACAAATTACATTAATTTTTAAAAATTAAATTCGCACCTATTCCTTTGCATGACTCATAGTTATGCTTACCATTTTCAGTCTGAAGTTTTGCTCGCTGAGTTGTAAAGTCATTGATCGTCCGTTGATTTTCCTCAGTCTTTGTTCTGAATTCACTAGTCTGATCTTCTAGACTCCTACTTATTTTCTCCAGATTTGCCTTTAAAAAAATGTACATACAATTTTATGAAATCAACAGATGAAGCTGGCATACTTAGAGGCAGCCTTTGATTAATAATATTTTATTATTATAACCATGGTAACAGACCATTCATTTCATGAGTACCAGTTTTGGTATTCACAAATGACACTGGTGATGTTCTAACCTTGGATTTTGCAATCTGTTCCATGTTGGAGACAACATCATCAAGCTCCATCTTGAGTTCACTCTTCTCCTTCTCCAGCTTCTGCTTCACTCTCTGCAGGTTGTCGATCTGCTCCCCCAGGTCAGCCACACTGTCGGCGTGTTTCTTCCTCAGTGTGGCCGCCGTGGCTTCGTGCTGCAGTGTGGCCTCTTCCAGGTCTCTGCGCAGTTTCAGGAACTCTGCCTCCCTCTTCTTGTTCATCTCGATCTGGGCAGAAGTGGCTCCACCAGCTTCCTCCAGCCTCTCGCTGATCTCCTCCAGCTCCCTGGACAGGTCTGCTCTCTGCTTCTCCACCTTGGCACGGGCAGCTCGCTCTGCTTCCAGCTCCTCCTCCAGCTCCTCAACGCGAGCCTAAAAAAGGTAGATTGCAGGTGTTTAAAACACATGTTAACATTGGTTAGACTGTTAGTACCTTCTCTATAGACCCAGGACTTTACCTGCAGTTCCTTTAGTTTCTTCAGCAGCTGTGCAATCATTGTTTGCTCGTCTTCAATTTTACTGTTGAGTTGACTTATCTCAAAATCTTTCCTGTTGAAGACATTGTGTATTTAACAACCTATTACAGATTTTAGTCATGCAAATTTTAAGTCATGAGATTGTTTTCTATATATGTATTTGCATTTTAAAACAATATTAAATTTGATTTTAAATATTACTTCTTCAGTCTTTCCTCCAGCTGCTGCTTGTCATTCTCCAGGTCCATTATGCTCTCCTGGGTTAACTTCAAGTCTCCTTCTAGTTTCCTCTTGGCCCTTTCAAGGTCCATCCGTACTTTTTTCTCTTGTTCCAGAGATCCTTCAAGCTGAAGGAAGTAATAATTAAATATTGTCATGGAAGTGTTAATTATCACTGAGAAAAATGTATTCATATTTTCAGTAGCACTCACATCATCGACTTGTTGCTCCAGTTTAGCCTTGGCCTTGGTGAGGGTGTTGACTTTGTCCTCCTCACTCTGCAGGTCATCCAGCGTTTGCTGGTGAGCCTCCTGTAGAGCTTTCTTCTCCTTTGTCAGCTTGGCAATAATTTCATCCAGAGCTGCCATTTCCTCAGTCAGGTTCTTCACCTGTGTACAGACCACTGACTATCAGCATGCATGTTTCCCATATTCATTGTGTAGATAATCATCACATGAGACTCTAACCTTGTTCTCAGTTGCATGCTTCTCCTTCTCCACTTTGGCCAGAGTGAGCTCCAGATCATCGATGTCCTTCTTCAGCTCAGAACACTCATCCTCCAGCTTCCTCTTCTTAGCAGTCAGCTCTGAATTCATTTCCTCCTCATCCTCCAGTCTCTCTGTCATCTCTTTGACTTTGGCCTCCAGCTGAATCTTATTTTTGATCAGTTGATCACACCGCTCCTCAGCATCACAGAGGTTATCTTGCTCCTAAGGTGACAATTAAAGGATTGAATTAATAGATAGATAATCTGATAAATATATGCAACTAATTCATTGTAATTAACTGTAAACCTACAGCTTGGACTTGTAACTGCAGGTCATTCTTCTCTTGGAGAAGAGAGACCATCTTCTCTTCCAGCTCCTTCCTGCGGGCCTCGGACTTTGCATACGCCTCTTTTAGTTTCAGGAACTCCTCCTTCATATTGGCCATCTCCTTTTCAGCCTCAGCTGACCTCAGTAGAGGTTTTATTTTGAAGTAGAGTTTCATCCAGGGCCAGTTTTTCACGCCCATGAAGGCCCGGACATTCCATTGGATCACAAGCAATGCATCTCTGCAGCAGAATCATGCAAACATTTAATGGATGTATTCATGGTGAGTCGTGGAGTAATACGAAGAAAACGTTAAATATAATCTTGAAACATTTAAATTTTAGATGCACTCTTTGTTCTAAAAAGCGGACTTAGGTCCAGTGTTTTTAAACAGTAATTGAAAAATTAATATTTTATATATTAATTTAGGTAACATTTTTATATCGAAACTTTTATTTCTTCATTTTTTATTTTATTTTTTTAATTTTACCAAGATAATGTTTATGACAAGGCTTTCCTTGATTCCTTGATTTTCAATATTTCCTTGATTTTCAATATTGTTATTAACCTTAATTTTTTTAGGGAACTGGAATACCAGCCGTGACTTCTATTGTTTTCTTTAGTTTTTATTTCTGTACATAATACTACAGTTACAGAATACATTTTTTACGATATTGCAAAAGCATAAATTTAAAGACGTGTACCTGCGATCCACCATTTTTTGATACTCAATTCTTGAGAGAAGACCACGAGACCTGGCCTGGATGGCAGTGATGATTTTGGACAGACGTTCGTCTCTCATCTCCTCTAGTTGACCCAGCAGACCAGCTTTGAAAAATACCTAGAAAGTTCACAATGATACTGCCATTATTTTTTCCATCCCAACGTAAAAGATGATCAACTTCAACAATTGTGGACTAATACCTTGGTGTATTACCCTAACCCTGACCCTCTTTACCTTGGTGTGCCCAAATCTGTACTGCTGGTGGTCAATATCCAGAGACCCCAACAGTTTCTCTGCCCCCTTTCTGCTGTCAATGAACTGTCCCTCTGGGATGGCAGACGGATTGAGGATGCGATATCTATAAAATAAACAGTGGTGTAAGAACTGTCAAGTAGTTTTCCTGAAGGCATCATGATAAAAAAAAAACAGACTTTACCTCTGTTTGAAGTCTCCATAGAGGATCCTGTTGGGGAAGCCCTTTCTGCAGATCCTGATGCCTTCCAGCACGCCGTTACAGCGCAGCTGGTGCATCACCAGAGGATTCTCCATGGCCCCAGGGGTCTTGGTCTCATTGGGGATGATGCAGCGCACAAAGTGAGGGTGGGTTGACCTCAAGTTTGTCATCAGCTTGTTCAGGTTCTCCTGAGAGTGAAAAGTTTCCAGTTAAACATTATTATGTTTGGCGTCTCTGTGTGTTCTGCCAAACACTTGTTTTATGCCTTTAAACTGCCGCTACCAGCTGTTATTAGCTGATCTTTTCATTTTCGGATGGTTCAGGCTAACATTTGATATTTGTCCTGGTTTGAAGAGATCACAAACATACCCTGTGGAGAGCAGACACAGTCTGGAAAGAGGATCCTTTCTTCTTCTTCTCTTTCTTGCCTTCCTTTGCATCTTGCAGTGCTGAACAATTGGGAATCAAGAAAACATCATTTAAATACATCAGTGCATGCTAGTTTTCTTAACCAGCAAACAGAGCAGTTGTGCACCCTGTGTCACCTTAAACTGCCACAAGATTTTAATTAGCAATTAAGCATTTCCCTATTTGACATTTTACCTTGGTCTGCACTAGCATAGTTGGCAAAAAGAGTAGCCAGCAGCTTGAGGGATGACTTCTGGTACAATCCCACCACTGTCTCATTCAGAGGGTCCTTGTTCTTCACCAGCCAATTGACAATGTTGTAGTCAACAGTGCCAGCATAGTGAACCAGGGCAAAATGGGCCTCTGGTTTCCCTTTGACAATCCTGGGCTTCTGGAAGTTGGCAGATTTTCCCAGATGGTTGTCGTACAGCTTTGCTTTGAAGGTGGAATCGCTGGCCTTAGGGAACATGCACTCCTCTTCGAGGATGGACATAATACCCATGGGCTGATGGTAAGGGAATTCAAAATGCAAATACGCTGATTATTATAAAGGATTATCTGAACACGGAGTGTTCTATGGATTTTGAAATTTAGAAGACATGTTCATTATGGTGCATGGTTACAGAGATACGACAATGCATTTCATTTTCAAAACTGTCTTTCATACCCAAGCAAAAACCTTGTGTCTAATGTACCTTCTCGATGAGATCGATGCAAGCCTGCAAGTCCATGCCAAAGTCAATGAACTCCCACTCAATGCCCTCTTTCTTATACTCTTCCTGCTCCAGGACAAACATGTGGTGGTTGAAGAACTGCTGCAACTTCTCATTAGTGAAGTTAATGCACAGCTGCTCGAACGTGTTGAACTGCAAGGGATTATTTTAAAAATAGATTTCAATAGTCAGATATCATTATGTTAAGAAGATAAGCAAATGCAACGATTTGAAAGATTTGACTCACATCAAAGATCTCAAAACCAGCAATGTCCAGCACACCAATGAAGTACTGGCGAGGTTGTTTGGTCTCCAGGGATTGGTTAATTCTCACCACCATCCACAAGAACATTTTCTCATATACTGCTTTAGAAAGGGCACCAACTGCATAGTTTACCTAAGATCAAGAAAGTAAAACATTCATATAATACTTTTAAATGCAGAATTTCTGATGGAACTATATGATATCTGGAGCATGATAAAGAAGCCCCTTATGGGAAATACATATAGAATACACTTACTAATAAATGTCTGTCTGTTTGTTTAAACTTTCATACCTGCTGGACATTCTGTCCTTTGGTGACCCACTCATTCCCTACTTTGACCCTTGGGTGACACAAGCCCTTGATGAGGTCAGCCGAGTTCAGGCCCATCAGATAAGCTACTTTGTCAGCATCTGACCCAAACATGTAAATTATATTTAAGTATAAAGCAGCAAGAGATTCTAAAGAATCTGCTCACAAGTATCATAACCATTATTATACCTGGATCCTTAATATAACTGTTTTTTTACCCAGCAGACTCACCCTCAGTGCCGTCAGCTTCTGCCTGCTCCTCACGCTGTTTCTGCTTGAACTTCATGTTACCATAGTGCATGATGGCACCAGTCAGCTTGTACACAGAGTTTTTCTCCTCTTGTGTGAAGCCCAGCACATCAAAGGCATTCTGTATAGAATAAGACATGTTTACGTCAAAGGTAGCAAATTAGCACTGTTGCAGTAAGAGCAATAGCCTTAAGACTCTATAAGACTTGTTGTTTCATCTTATTATGAACCAATACACTACATGGACAAAAGTATTGGGACATCTGGCCGTTACACAAACAGGAATTTTTATGACACCCCATTCTAAATCCATAGGCATCTATACGGAGCTGCCCCCCCCCCCCCCCCTCCCTTTGCAGCTATAACAGCTGCCACTCTTCTGGGAAGGTTTTTCACAAGACTTTGGAGTGTCTGTGGGAATTTTTGCCCACTCAATCAGGAGAGCATTTGTGATGACAGGCACTGATGTAGGACGTGAAGACCTGACTCACAATCCCTACTGTAGTGCATCCCAAAGGTCTTTCATGGGGTTGAGGTCAGAGCTCTGTGTGGGCCAGTCAAGTTCTTCCACACCGAACTCACCCAACCATTGTCTTTGGTCTTTTATTTTAGGGTTTTAAATTGAATGAAATTAACTTTACAATAACAAAAATTATTTTTAAAAATAAGTTCATGAATAATTTAAAACTCATGTTAGAAGAATGTCTCAAATTATGTTGAGCTCGTTTTTTCTAAAGATGTCTTTATAGTTGTTATTTTGAATTTAATGATCACGCTCTTCCAAGAAACAACATTTTTAGCCTGAGGTACTGTAAACTGTTAGATTTGATGCAGTAGCTGGAACGAGACGCCGCAGGGCCACAATTAGTATGAGAAATGTGTCCATGAGCCCTGGTTTGTGCCTCTTAATAACAATAGCAAGGCAGACAGAAGGCAGATGGACATCTACTGACGTCAGTGGCCATCAGCTCCTCAGCATCATCGATGGAGGCCACCGTTGTCTCTCCCTGAGAGATGAAGGCGTAGTCATAGGGGTTATTCGTCACCAGCAACATCTCTGTTTATGGGCAGCGAAAGAGAGAGAGAAAACAAGAGTAAGAGAGCCACATATTAATGACCAAACTCCTTTTTTTTTATATAAAACTTTTTTTTTCTTTTCAAAACTACTTACCCAGTATTTCAGGTTTTCTGTTCGACAGAATCTGGTAGAAGATGTGATAATCTCTCTCAGCCTTCAGCTGAAAGGTGACGCGGGACTTTTCCAAAAGGTCTTGTTAAACAAAGAGGGATAATGAAAGATCGAAAATAAGCATCACATATTTTCCCTCTAACACAACAACAAAAATAATAGTTATTATTATTATTTACTTGCAACTGTACAGCAATCACACAAAAAAGAACCTTGAAAATCAGACGCGATAATTAAAGTACATGCAGTTTCTTACAGGTCTCGATATCAGCTGAGGCCAATTTCCCTCGAGTATCAAAATGGATGCGGATGAATTTGCCCTAAATATAGAAGAAAGCATGACTTGGTTAGATTCTGTTTTATATGCAGTCAACCAATTTTATGTAATAGCTTTACACTCACAAATCTTGAGGAGTTGTCATTCCTGATGGTCTTTGCATTACCAAAAGCCTCCAGGGCCGGATTGGCCTGTATGATTTGATCCTCCAGGGTCCCCTGAAATTTACAAGCAAAACCAATGCTGGAAGTTTTTTTTTTAAGTCAAATATGACCATCTTCTCCTTATTAATCTCATACCCAGAAGTAGAATAATTATGATTATATCTAGTATAATAATATATAATGACCTTATTCTGGGCAGAAGTATCCTTTTTCACTACGCCTGCTGCAATGCTTGCGAAATACTGAATGACTCTTTTAGTGTTCACAGTCTTTCCAGCACCAGATTCTCCACTGAGGAAACCAAAACATTAAAAGAAGGTCACACATGGAGAAGAAATGGCTTTTGCCTTTTGTTTCTCTGTTTAAATATAGGAAAGATTTTTTTTGCAGCAGTTAGAACCTACAAACACCAGCAGTCGACAATTATTACATATATCCAGAAAATGCACTGAACTCACGTGATCAAGATAGACTGGTTCTCACGATCTATAAGACGAAAAATGTGAATATTAGAAATGAGGATGATAATGAGAAAAGGACAAATTATGACCATTTATTACCATTAGATAATAATTCTACGAAACATAATACTACCATAGGTATTATGAAAGATGCTTTACAAGGATCATAGATGGTAATTATTATGTGAATTAGCTTGATGAGTCTTTCTGCTTTGAGTTACCTGTCAGCATGTACTGATAAGCGTTGTCAGAGATGGAGTAAATGTGAGGAGGAGCTTCGCTCCTCTTCTTTCCTCTGTAAGCAAGAACCACTGCCTGGTCGTAGACTGGCAGCCACTTGTAGGGGTTGACAGTGACACAGAAGAGCCCAGAATAGGTCTGAAATCATATACAGCAAACAGCACTTTAATGCATTGCCTGCACTGTACAATCATTAATATTTTGTTTGTGACTCAATTAAACAGATCCTCACGTAGATCATCCAGGCTGCGTAACGCTCTTTCAGGTTATACAGCACGGCGGGCTCATGCAGGAAAGTTAACATGGCCATGTCCTCAATCTTGTCAAATTTTGGAGGGTTCTGCTGCATAAGGTCTGTATCTTTGACGGTTAATGTCTGGAAAAATAATATCAGAACAAAACCATTCTTAGGTTAAGGATGGAGCGTGTATCTTTGGAGTGATCTTTGATCATGGTTTGTTTCTGGTTTGTTTCTTCTGATTCATAAATCTGTAGATTAATTTAATGTTTGGTCAAGGTATCTCCAAAAGTATTTATAAAATACTGTTTATTTGTATCATACATCATTTCAAAAATGCAATTAGGTTTGTGTTATTATTTGTTGTTTGTGTGATGGACATAGAAAGCAACTCACCTTCCCACTGTATGTCTCCACAGTCACTTTGTCTCCCTCTCGACTTACGACGGAGGCCTTGACAAACTCCTCCACAGGATCGGGTACAAAACATTCCTTCTTCATGTCAAAGAGGCGAGTCTGGGCTTCCAGACGCTCCTTGTCTGATTTTCTCAGGTACGAAGCTGCACCCCCAAACACCGACATCTCAGCATCACCCATGGCGACTCTGAAAGACATTTACGGGTAGAGTAACACAACTAGTGTCTAACCAGGATTGGAAATATACAGCGTGCCAATGATCCTGATTATAACTTACCAGTGGGTTGAAGACCAACAAGAAAACTGAAGAATGGACACACTAACAGACAACTGATGGACCTGAGGGAAAGAAAAACAGTATGTTAAGATACAGAAAAGTGGTCCAAGGATGGAAAGAGTGATAGTGAGGTAGCACGATGTCAGATCACACAGGTAGTGGGAAACAGGGCTGTAGCTGCCCCATACAGACAGGGGGACACACAAGCTGCCAGGACTGTCATACCAAATCAGCCGGACTCTTTGGCTCTGCGCTGACTTGGGGTTCAGGGTGCAGGTCACATTTATACCTCTTGATGCCATGCCCTATAAGGCCAGGGGCACGACCACCCCCACCCCCCCCATCCCGCCCTCTGCTCCCTTTGCGTGACCCACTGACTCGCTCACCAAGGGCAGCCCACTATCCTCCAGAGGTGCACTCACTAGCCATTGATTGCCACACCCCCCCACCCCCCCCCCCCCCCCATAACTCTGCCATGAAAGATAAGAGAGAGGGAGAATGAGGGA